GCAAAGAAAAATAACGATTTTTAAATCTTTTAAATATCAAGTCACTTTTAAGGCAAATTTGTGTCTACAGTACAGAAAAGTAGTCTAGTGGCCCCAACCTTTCTACCCCTAGTACACCTGAAGAATGTAATTAATTCCCATCAGTAACAGACCTTCCCTGGGACAGATGTAGAAATGGGTACTTTTCAAAAAGCCTTTCTTTATAAGAACACTTAAAAATCTTACAAATCTAAAGCAAGAGTGGCAAAATGCTGGAATTCAATAGAGCTGAGTAGTGGGCACCCGGGTTTCATTTTTCTCATTGTATTTGAAGACTTTATAACAACAATGAAGGGTTTTAAGGCTTCTTGGGCCATCCTACCTTACCCCTTTTTGAATCTCTAGATTTTCAGTGGCCTTATCTTACCCATTTTGCTCAGAATTATCTCACTAAAGTCTTTTTTTTTTTTTTTCCCCAAATTCTGGCTGCTGAACTTTTCACACATCACTTGAGTTTTATAAGGATTTTAATTTGGTTGTGTCTTGGTTCTAATGACAGGGAAGCCATTTAATCTGACAACATAATAAGTAAGGCAGTTAAAGTTGAAAACATAAGACTATATTCTTTTAAAGTTCATTGAAAGGTGAGAGAGGAAGTCTTCCTGTTAGAGAACTATGTAGCTCTCAATGAGGGCCATGTAAAAAATTATTTAGAAATGGAACTGTCTCTGTAACATGCAAGAGGAATTTAGTCTCTGAATGTATTCTTATCCCAGCTTCCTAAACATTCTTTAGATTCCATGGCCTGTCATTATAATTACTCCCTTACAGGCACTCTCAGCTCCCTTGCTCAGCTCCCTCTGTTGCTCTTGTGCCTGGCAAAATTCTCCCTAGTGAAATCCAGCTAAAGTCTTGCTCCACACTTCTACCTAAGCATGGAATATAGCTCGAAGGAAACAGTCATGCTGACGTGTCTCACTAACCTATTTCCCTGTTCCCCTTTACAGTTAACTTCCTTAAAGACTATGCTGTATCCACTTCTCCTCTTACTCCTTGTTGAACCAGTCAGGCTTTCGTCCCTACCACTCTGCCAGAAGTGTTTTTGTCAAGATGGTTAATGTCTTTTTCAGTGCCAAACACAATGTTCATCAGTAGCATTTGACATATTTGAGAATTCATTCTTTCTTAAAGCTCTTTCTTCATTTGTTTCTGGAACAACTTTCTCTCTTGAGATAGGTGACACTCCTCCTGTCACTGAGTCTCCTTGAGGATCTTGCTCATCTCCCTGACCTGCAGTTGAGGGCCCCAGAGTTCATTGTAGGGCCTGTTCCTCATACCCATACACTTCCTTGGCTGTATTTCCCTCTTTTGCCACTGTGTATATGCCTATCTCTATGTTTATTACTCCCAAATTTAAATCTCCAGCTCTGATAGTCCCCTTAATACCAAACTGTATCTTCAACTGCCCAATAGAAAAACTGTATCTCCAACTCTCCACATAGAAATCTAGCAGACATCTCAAGCTTGACATGACAAAAGCTAAGGTGATATTCTCCCCCAAACCTCCTCTCCTACTTTTTCCCATCTCAGTAAATGAAAACTCTGTTATCCAGTTGTTCAGAAGAAAAACCTCTTCTCTTTCTCTCACATCCCACATCAAACATATCAGCAAATCCTGTCAGCTTCTTAGCAACTCTCCCTTTTTACCTATTCCACTTCTACCCCTCAGCACAAGCCACCACCATCTTCCTGGGCCATTGCAGGAGCCTCCTGTCTCCCTGCTTCCACCCTTGTTCCACTGTCACTTAGTCTCTACAGCATAGCCAGAAAGCTGCTTTTAAAACATGAGGCATTGGCCGGGCGCGGTGGCTCACGCCTGTAATCCTAGCACTCTGGGAGGCCAAGGCGGGCGCATTGTTTGAGCTCAGAAGTTCGAGACCAGCCTAAGCAAGAGCGACACCCCGTCTCTACTAAAAATAGAAAGAAATTAATTGGACAACTAAAAATACATAGAAAAAATTAGCTGGGCATGGTGGC